TGGAAGAGTTTGAGAAGGGTGGGTGTTAGCTCTCCTCTAAATGTTTGATAGAATTTGCCTGTGAAGCCATCTGGTCCTGGGCTTTTGTTTGTTGGAAGATTTTTAATCACAGTTTCAATTTCATTACTTGTGAATGGTCTGTTTATATTTTCTGTTTCTTCCTGGTTCAGTCTTGGAAGGTTATACCTTTCTAAGAATTTGTCCATTTCTTCCAGGTTGTCCATTTTATTGGCATAGAGTTGCTTGTAGTTGTCTCATAGGATGCTTTGTATTTCTGCTGTGTCTGTTGTAACTTCTCCTTTTTCATTTCTAATTTTATTGATTTGAGTCCTCTCCCTCTTTTTCTTGATGAGTCTGGCTAATGGTTTATCAATTTGGTTTATCTTCTCAAAGAACCAGCTTTTAGTTTTGTTGATCTTTGCTGTTGTTTTCTTTGTTTCTATTTCATTCATTTCTGCTCTGATCTTTATGATTTCTTTCCTTCTGCTAACTTTGGGTTTTGTTTGTTCTTCTTTCTCTAGTTCCTTTAGGTGTAAGGTTAGATTGTTTATTTCAGATTTTTCTCGTTTCTTGAGGTAGGCTTGTATAGCTATAAACTTCTCTTAGAACTGCTTTTGCTGCATCCCATAGGTTTTGGATCATTGTGTTTTCACTGTCATTTGTCTGTAGGTATTTTTTGATTTCCTCTTTGATTTCTTCAGTGATCTCTTGGTTATTTAGTAACGTATTGTTTGGCCTCCATGTGTTTGTGTCTTTTACATTTTTTTCCCTGTAACTGATTTCTAATCTCATAGCATTGTGGTCAGAAAAGATGCTTGATATGATTTCAATTTTCTTAAATTTACTGAGGCTTCATTTGTGATCCAAGATGTGATCTATCCTGGAGAATGTTCCATGAGCACTTGAGAAGAAAGTGTAACCTGCTGTTTTTGGATGGAATGTCCTATAAATATCAATTAAATATATCTGGTCTATTGTGTCATTTAAAGCTTCTGTTTCCTTATTAATTTTCCGTTTGGATGATCTGTCCATTGGTGTAAGTGAGGTGTTAAAGTCCCCCACTATTATTCTGTTACTGTTGATTTCCTCTTTTAGAGCTGTTAGCAGTTGCCTTATGTATTGAGGTGCTCCTATGTTGGGTGCATATATATTTATTATTGCTATATCTTCTTCTTGGATTGATCCCTTGATCATTACGTAGTGTCCTTCCTTGTCTCTTGTAACATTCTTTATTTTAAAGTCTATTTTATCTGATATGAGTATTGCTACTCCAGCTTTCTTTTGATTTTCATTTGCATGGAATATCTTTTTCCATCCCCTCACTTTCAGTCTGTATGTGTCCCTAGGTCTGAAGTGGGTCTCTTGTAGACAGCATATATATGGGTGTTGTATCCATTCAGCAAGCCTGTGTCTTTTGGTTGGAGCATTTAATCTGTTCATGTTTAAGGTACTTATCGATATGTATGTTCCTATCACCATTTTCTTAATTGTTTTGGGTTTGTTTTTCTAGGTCCTTTTCTTCTCTTGTGTTTCCCACTTAGAGAAGTTTCTTTAGCATTTGTTGTAGAGCTGGTTTGGTGGTGCTGAATTCTCTTAGCTTTTGTTTGTCTGTAAAGCTTTTGATTTCTCCATCGAATCTGAATGAGATCCTTGCTGGGTAGAGTAATCTTGGTTGTAGCTTCTTCCCTTTCATCACTTTAAGTATATCATGCCACTCCTTTCTGGCTTGTAGAGTTTCTTCTGAGAAATCAGCTGTTAACCTTATGGGAGTTCCCTTGTATGTTATTTGTCGTTTTTCCCTTGCTGCTTTCAATAATTTTTCTTTGTCTTTAATTTTTGCCAATTTGATTTCTATGTGTCTCGGTGTGTTTCTCCTTGGGTTTATCCTGTATGGGACTCGCTGCACTTCCTGGACTTGGGTGGCTATTTCCTTTCCCATGTTAGTGAAGTTTTCGACTATAATCTCTTCAAATATTTTCTTGGGTCCTTTCTCTCTCTCTTCTCCTTCTGGGACCCCTATAATGCGAATGTTGTTGCATTTAATGTTGTCCCAGAGGTCTCTTAGGCTGTCTTCATTTCTTTTCATTCTTTTTTCTTTATTCTGTTCCACAGTAGTGAATTCCACCATTCTGTCTTCCAGGTCACTTATCCATTCTTCTGCCTCAGTTATTCTGCTATTGATTCCTTCTAGTGTAGTTTTCATTTCAGTTATTGTATCATTCATCTCTGTTTGTTCTTTAATTCTCCTAGATCTTTGTTAAACATTTCTTGCATCTTCTCAGTCTTTGCCTCCATTCTTTTTCCGAGGTCCTGGATCATCTTCACTATCATTATTCTGAATTCTTTTTCTGGAAGATTGCCTATCTCCATTTCATTTAATTGTTTTTCTGGGGTTTTATCTTGTTCCTTCATCTGATACATAGCCCTCTGCCTTTTCATCTTGTCTATCTTTCTGTGAATGTGGTTTTTGTTCCACAGGCTGCAGGATTGTAGTTCTTGCTTCTGCTGTCTGCCCTCTGGTGGATGAGGCCAAGAGGCTTGTGAAAGTTTCCTGATGGGAGGGACTGGTGGTGGGTAGAGCTGGCTGTTGCTCTGGTGGGCAGAGCTCAGTAAAACTTTAATCTGCTTGTCTGCTGATGGTTGGGGCTGGGTTCCCTCCCTGTTGGTTGTTTGGCCTGAGGCAACCCAACACTGGAGCCTACCCGGCTCTTTGGTGGGGCTGATGGCGGACTCTGGGAGGGCTCATGCCAAGAGGTACTTCCCACAACTTCTGCTGCCAGTGTCCTTGTCCCTTGGTGAGCCACAGCTGCCCCCTGCCTCTGCAGGAGACCTTCCAACATTAGCAGGTAGGTCTGCTTCAGTCTCATCTGGGGTCACTTCTCCTTCCCCTGGGTCCCAATGTGCACACTACTTTGTGTGTGCCCTCCAAGAGTGGAGTCTCTGTTTCCCCCAGTCCTGCCAAAGTCCTGCAATCAAATCTTGCTAGCCGAAGTCTGAGTCTCTAGGAATTCCTCCTTCCGTTGCCAGATCCTCAGGTTGGGAAGCCTGACATGTGGCTCAGAACCTTCACTCCAGTGGGTGACTTCTGGGGTATAAGTGTTCTCCAGTTTGTGAGTCACCCACCCAGCAGTTATGGGATTTGATTTTATTGTGATAGCACCCCTCCTACCGTCTCACTGCAGCTTCTCCTTTGTCTTTGCATGTGGGGTATCTTTTTTGGTGAGTTCCAGTGTCTTCCGGTTGATGACTATTCAGCAGTTAGTTGTGATTCTGGTGTTCTCAAAAGAGGGAGTGAGACCATGTCCTTCTACTCCACCATCTTGAACCAATCTCAAGCTTTTTAATTTGATGTTGTCCAAATTGTTTATTTTTGCTTTTGTTGTTTGTGGAGGTTTGTTTTAAATAATTTGCATTTGTGCTGCTAACTCTAACCTAGTCATCTAAAAGCTAAGGTTTACTGAGAAAGTGCATGGAACAAGAGGGAGGCAATTTAATCCCTGAGCAAAACTGGGCTTGATACCTCCATTCCTTACCCTTTGAGAAAGTAAACATTCCAGAGGAAAGAGTTCGAGAAGGCAGATTGCCAATCCTAATAAAAATATTCTCTCAGTAGGCTGATGTAGGTCTTCACTCAAAGGATGGAGGGGGCTTCCCTGGTGATGCAGTGGTTGAGAGTCCACCTGCTGATGCAGGGGACACGGGTAAAAAAAAAAAGGATGGAGGACATCGATTGGGAATTCAGCTGGCTTTCTTGGCCCACTCCCCCTTAAATACTGATGATGCTGAGTTTGATCCAAAGGTGGTTATCCATCCTCTAGCTATTCAAGGCTCACTACAAAGTTCTTTGGATATAATGGATATCCTCACCTACATCTCCTTGATCCAGGAAAATGAGAATGATGTGGCAGAAATCTACTGTAGAAATCTACCAACCAGAGGAAAGATAAGAAATTCTCCATATTTCGGGACTTCCCTGGTGGTCCAGTGGTAAAGAATCTGCCTTACAATGCAGGGGACGCAGGTTCAATCTCTGGTCAGGGAACTAAGATCCCACATGCTGCGGGGCAACTAAGCCCGTGCACCAGCTACTGAGCTCATGCACCTCAACTAGAGAGCCCACATGCCGCAAACTACAGAGCCCACGCAGCCTGGAGCCCGTGCACCGCAAAGAAAGATCCTGCATGCCTAAGCGAAGGTCCCATGTCCCACAACTAAGACCTGACAGAGCGAAAAATAAATACAATAAATAAATAAATAATAAATCTTAAAAAAAAAAAAAAGAAATTCTCCATATGTCTAAGGCAAGAGAACAGAGCTGGGAAAGAAAACGTCAGGTAGAGCCTCTGAGACAGCAGAGACAGCAACGATGATTATAAAGCTCTTTCCTTTTTTTTTTCGGCTGTACGACACAGCATGCAGGATCTTAGTTCCCCGACCAGGGATCAAACCTGTGCAGTACAAGCACGGAGTCTTTTTTTTTTTTTTTAATTTATTTTTGGCTGCGTTGGGTCTTCATTGCTGTGCGCAGGCTTTCTCTAGTTGCGACAAGCGCCGGCTTCTCATTGTGGTGGCTTTTCCTGCGGAGCACGGGCTCTAGGCGCGTGGGCTTCAGTAGTTGTGGCACGCGGGCTCACTAGTTATGGCTCGCGTTCTAGAGCGCGGGCTTAGTAGTTGTGGCACATGGGCTTAGTTGCTCTGCAGCATGTGGGATCTTCCCTGACCAGGGCTCGAACCCGTGTCCCCTGCATTGGAAGGCAGATTCTTAACCACTGAGCCACAAGGGAAGTCCCAGAAGCAAGGAGTCTTAACCACTGGACCACCAGGGAAGTCCCTAAAGCTCTTTCCTTTGAAAATAATAAACTGAGTACAAGAAAATTGAAAGGAATTCCAAACAAGCTGTAGGACAGTGACACTGGGGTGACATAAAAAAGACAATTAAAATAAATTTACCAGTGAATCTACAATTATTTCAAAATAAAAAGTTTTAAGAAATCTTTTACCTGAAGCCAACATAGTCTCCCATGACGACACACATTAGCTCCTTCTGCTGCCACACTCAGGACACTTTGCTTCTTGATGTGGAGCATCTGGTAAGAAAAGGAAGAAAATAAAAATCTCCAGGAAATAAATGTTGCAATTATGACATCATGAATGGCACAAGTAAAATGGCTAGAAATAAACAAAGTGGATCATATTTTTTTACACTTACAAAATCCGAAACACATGTCTGCTTCACACACACACACACACAAATCACATTGAATGCTTCTGATCCTCTTTTCAGGGTTCACAAAGTTATTCCACAACTGGAAAATAAATCATTCATATTGCAAATGCTAATAAGAGTTGAAAACTCAGATACCTTTTGTTACCACTGGTGTTACAGCAAAAGGTTTCCAGTCTTTATGGCAAGATTCCTCATGCAAAGAACAGCAATTTACTGTACCTAAAGGGAACTCACACAGTGGCTGAGTCTCACAGTATCTACTGTTCAGAATGAGAAAAACACAGACTTAACAGGTCCTTTAAAGTCTTGGATTCATTAAAATATTCAAAACTGAAATAGGGGTATCCTGGAAACATATGCTGGTCCTCTTATTATCTATATTCTTATCATATTTCAAAACATTATACAATTCTAAAATCTTTACTGCATAATCCATGAAAATATCTGCATGGCACAAGATTCTCCCCATTTTACAGGTAGATAAATTACTCAAGAATAGAAAGGCAAAGTAACTTACACTAGCACAATATCTTCCTTTACAGAGCATAAAGTGTTCTATATTCTGAGTATCTTTCATCAATGATAAAAAATGGGGACTGAACTTCAGTTCCATTCTCAATCAACAAGAAGGCTGCAAAACTGGGAACAAAAGCTGTATTTCCCTATTGATAAGAATTTCCAACTAACTCTTTAAATTTCCGGAGCAAAAGTTCTTATCTTATTATTTGTTGTTGTTGTCATGGACCCTTTAAAGCATCTGTTGATATATAAAGAATTCTTGTAACTCAATTAAAATGGCAAATGAATAGATATTTCTCTAAAGAAGATGTACAAATAGCCAATAAGCCTATATGGGAAAAGAATCTAAAAAAGAGTGGATATATGTATAGGTATAACTGATTCACTTTGCTGTACACCTGAAACTAACACAACATTGTAAATCAACTATACTCCAACAAAAATTTTTTTTAAAAAGAAAAAAAATAGCCAATAAACACATGAAAATATGCTTAACACTATTAGCCTTCAGGGAAATGCAAATCAAAACCACAATGAGATACTACTTCACACCACTAGGATGGCTATAATTAAAATGACAGGTAATAGTGTCGGTAAGAATGTGGAGAAATTGGAATCCTCACGCCCTGCTGGTGGGAAAGTAAAGTGGTGCAGCGCTTTGCAAAACAGTATGGCCAATCCTCAAAAAGTTAAACACAGAGTTATTACATGAGCCAGCAATTCCACTTGTAAGTATCTATCCAAGAGAAATGGAAACGTGTCCACACAAAAACTTGTATATGTATGTTCACAGCAGCACTATTCATAATAGCCAAAAAGTAGAAACAACCCAAATGTCCATCAAATGGTGAAAGGATAAATGAAATGTAGTATATCCATACAAAGGAATATTATTTGGCAACAAAAATAAGTGAAATACTGATACACGCTATAACATAGATAAACCTTGAAAATATTATGCTACGCAAAAGAAGCCAAGCCAATCACAAATGACCACACATTGTATGATCCCATTTATATGAAATGTCCTAAACAGGCACATTCATAGAGGCAGAAAATAGATTAGCGGTTGCCAGGGGCTGGGGGTACTCAGAAGGGATTAGAGGTGTTAGCTAAGGAATATGGGGTTTCCTTTTGGAGTATTAAAAATGTTCTAAAATTCACTGTGGTGATGGATGTACAATTCTGTGAATATGCTAAGATCCAGTGAAGTGTACATTTTAAATTGGTAAATTTTATGGCATGTGAATTATATCTCAATTAAGCTGTTTGAAAAACAAAGAATCTGCTGAAAGCTAACCCTCTCTTAAAAAGTACATCTGTGCATACATGAGCATAAGCTTGCTCCTAAACAAAAAACTTAACGACTTCCCTAAAGTCTAACTGTGAACCATAGCCTAGCTGAATAATTAGTTACTGCCATATCTCAAATTAAAAAAATATTATAGAGAAATTGCCTAAATAGAGCATCTAGACTGGTCTTTTAAAAACATAAGTAAAAAAATTTTTGACTCTCCTCTAAAACTGCCAATGGCTCTCCATCTTACTCAAGTCGAACTCAAAATCCTTATGTCTACCTGACCTGCCTCCTGCCCCCTTCCATTCCCTAACATTCTTTTTCACTGTGGTCCTGCCACAATGACCTCCCTGCTGTTCCTCCACACAAGTCAAGTGTGCTTCAGCCTCAGGGCCTCTGCACTTGTAATTATGCCTTCTTTAAGTTTTTTACTAGATATCCACATGGTTAGCTCCCTTACTTCTTTTAGCTCTCTGTTCCAATGTCACCTCTTCACAGAGGTTTTCTCTGTCTACCCTAAATAAAATAGGAACTCCCTGTCATTCTATTCACCATACTACACTTTTTTTCATAGCACTTACCACCAGTTGATATACAATTATGTGTTTATTTTCTTGCATTAAAATAAGCTCCTTCAGGGCTAGAACTTTGTCTTATTATTATAACCCAGACCTCAGAACAATGCCTGGCAAATAGCCGGCTCTCGGATGTTTTGTTAACTCATTAGGAAAAACACTAATGATCTTATAATAAGAGAGAAATTTATGAGACATAGACATGATACCCATTTGCAGACAATACGGAGAATGACTGAGGGCAATACTTACTGCAGCACCAAATTTCTGCTGGAACTGATCAATGACTGTGTATGTCACTTCCTCTTCCTCTACAGGAGAATATTATTATATATATTTATCTTCCTTGGCAATAGAATAGCCCTCCCACTAATTTTAGCCATAATCCTAAAGTCCTACTCTTTGCAACTCAAATGTCTAGAACTACTGAGACTAAGCCTAGAATACTGAGAACTATTTCATTATCACCTGCATCAGCCCATCCCGTAGTGAACACTATTAGCATCCTATTTGTCAGTTGAGAATAAACAAAAGCCCCACTGATGATATCTTATAAAATAAAATATTTACTCATTTCCTTTGATAATCCAGTAATGTTTCCTTCATCATAAGTTTATGTCTTGAATACTTCAAGACATGTACTTTTAAAAAAATGTTAATACAATTTTTGAAGGTTACTCTCCATTTACAGTTATTAGAAAATATTGGCCATATTCCCCGGTATTGTACAATACATCCTTGTAGCCTATCTTATATCCAATAGTTTGTGACTCCCACTGCCCCACCCCTATATCCCCCCCACACTGGGAACCACTAGTCTGTTCTCTGTATCTGCGAGTCTGCTTCTTTTTTGTTATAGTCACTAGTTTGTTGTATTTTTTAGATTCCACATATAAGTGATATCATACAGTATTTAAGACATGCATTTTGTAAAAGCACATTCATAATAAAAAATAATAGTTTAAAATAAATTAGTCCTGGAGATGGACCAATGTCCACACGTTTGGAATTCTCTGGATCCTGAAAATTAATTATTTTTCTAATTATGTAATTTAAAAGATTAGAGGTATAGCATAACATATAGTTCTTCTTCATCTCCCAAACTTTAAAACTCTGGAGTGGCTCAGGACATAGTCCATAAGCCACTTCCTTTTTTCTATCCATACTTACTCTCTTGGTGATCTCATCTAGTCTCAAGGCTTTAAATATCATTTATAGGCTAGATCTTGAATTTATATCTCCACCTCAGATCTTTGTCTTCATCTCTCAGCTTACACTCAAACTTAGGTTGACCAAAACTAAACTCCTAACCATCTCCCCAAAACCTTTCCCACCCAGAATCCTTCCCATACTTCAGGCTGCTCAAGCCCAAACCCCTGAAGTCATCCTTGTTTCCTCTTTTTCTTTCACAACCACATCTAATCTGTCAGTACATTGTGTTGGCTCCACCTCAATATATATGCAGAATTCCACCACTTCCTACCAACCATATCGCCACCACGAGGGTCCAAACCACCATACCCACTAAAGAAAATTATTTCAGTAGCCTCCTAACTGGTATTCATGCTCTTACGTTGGCCCTCCTCTCAGCATCTATACAGTATCCAGAGTGATACTGCTTCTTCTGCTCAAAACTCTCCAATGGAAAATAGAAGTTTTAAAAAATACCTTCTAGGGCTTCTCTGGTGGCGCAGTGGTTGAGAGTCTGCCTGCCGATGCAGGGGACATGGGTTTGTGCCCCAGTCCGGGAAGATCCCACATGCCGCGGAGCGGCTGGGTCCGTGAGCCATGGCCGCTGGGCCTGCGCGACCAGAGCCTATGCTCCGCAACGGGAGAGGCCACAACAGTGAGAGGCCCACGTACCACAAAAAAACAACAACAAAAAAACCCAAAAACCTTCTATAATAGTATAAAAATAGAAATACTTAGGGATAAATATGGCAAAAGATGTGTAAGACATACAATGAGAACTACAAAACACTGAGAAATTAAAGATCTAAATAAATGTAGAGGTATACTGGGTTAATGGAATGGAATACTCAATACTGTTAAGATGTCAATATTCCCCAAACTGATCTATCAATTCATTGTAATCCCAAAAAAGATTCCAGCAGAGTTTTTTCTTTTTTGGTAGAAATTAACAAGCTGATTCTAAAATTCATAGGGAAATGCAAAGAACAAAGGACAGCTGAAACAACTTTGAAAAAGAACAAAGTTGGAGAATTAATACTACCTGCTTTCAAGATCTATCATAAATCAACAATAAACAAAACAGTCTAGTATTGGTGTAAAGATAGAAAAATTAGATCAATGTAACAGAATAGAGTGTCCATAAATAAATAAACCTATATACATACAGAAAACTGATTTTTGACAAAGGTGCAAAGGTAACTGAAGGGAGAAAATACAGACTTTTCAATAAACGGTGCTGGAATAATTGGATGTCCATATGGAAAAAAAAAACCTTGTCCATATCACATCATATACAAAAGTTAAAAATGGATCATACAGGAATAAAGACGCAGATGTCGTGAATGGACTTGAGGACACGGGGAGGGGGAAGGGTAAGTTGGGACGAAGTGAGAGAGTGGCATGGACATATATACACTACCAAATGTAAAACAGATAGCTAGTGCGAAGCAGCCGCATAGCACAGGGAGATCAGCTCAGTGCTTTGTGACCACCTAGAGGGGTGGGATAGGGAAGATGGGAGGGAAGGAGACGCAAGAGGGAGGAGATACGGGGATATATATATATGTATAGCTGATTCACTTTGTTATAAAGCAGAAACTAACACACCATTTTAAAGCAATTATACTCCAATAAAGATGTTTAAAAAAAGTATATATAAACATTTTAAAAAAGTGGATCATAGACCTAAATGTAAAACCTAAAATGTCTAGAAGAAAACAAAGGAGAAAATCTTTGTGACTCTGAGCTAGGAGAGGTTACTTAGATATGACATCAAAAGCACAATCCATAAAAGAAAGAAAATGGATAAATGGTACTCCATCAAAATTTTAAATGTCTGCTCTTCAAGAGATGCTTTAAGAGAATGAAAAGACAAACCACAGACTTGGAGAAAATATTTGCAAAGCATATATTTGAGAAAAGACTTGTATCCAGAATATATAAAGAACTCCCAACACTGAATAATAAGAGAACAATCCAATAAGAAAATGAACAAAAGATATGGATAGACATTCACCAAAGATATTCAGATGCCAAATAAGCACATTAAAAAATCCTCAACATCCTTAGTCATTAGGGAAATGAAGAAAACAACCAACCAACCTCCAATGGCTTCTCTTCTCACTGCAGAGTAAAAGCCAAGTCCTTTCAATGATCTACAAAGTCTTCCATGATCCACTCACCCCACTTCATCCCCTACTGCTCTCCTTGCTCCAGCTACACTCATCTCCTTGCTGTCCCTTCAAGATCATGGCATGTTCCTCTCTCAGGCCTTTGCATCTGCTAATTTTTTATGCCTAAAAACCATTCCCCCCAGATATTCATACATCTTCGTTCCTCACTTCCTTCAAGCCTTTACTTCAAATGTCACTATTTCAGTGAGACCTGTCCTGGACACTCAAAAATTGTAAAACCACCCTCTCCACACATTTCTTCTTTTTCTTCTGTTTTTTTCTACTTAACATGTGGCACCAGCATACTATATAGTATACTAATTTATCTTATTTATTGTGTTTCCTGCACCATAACTCGATGAAGGTAGAGATACCAAACTTTGGTATCCCCAATGTCTGGCATATAGTGTGCACTCAAATATTAAATAAACAAATGAATCATGGTATTTTATCTTAATTCGGACCCTAGAAACAATAGCCTAGCTGAGAATTCCACATAGAACCTTGACTCGGGGTTATACCAACTCTGAAGAGTTCTGAACCACAAGAGAGCCTAGAAAATTCAGAGCCCTGGTACTCACCTGATGGGCTGTACTTGAGGTCATTTAGCAGAGAAGTGGTTGGTGCCTCAGAGGCAGGAGAAGCAGGCTTATATACATTTAGGTCTTCATCTTTTATTGTATCCATCCTGTTTCTTTCTGTATTTAGACTATGCTTACAAAAAACAACACTTAGGTGAGCTTGTTCTTTGTTGTTAACACCATACACACATCAGTGGTAAGGACTCTGGATCTTTCATAGAGAACCCATTCATCCACTGTTTACACTGATTTGAAGATACCATCTAAAGATGGAAGGAAACATCCACCTATTTCTTCTCATGTTAGGAATTACACAGCTAGTGAATTACAGTTAAGGCTTTCTACCCTAATGTGTACATCTGGGTAACATCATAATTAAGAAAATCATTCCATCATACCTAACAGAAGATGCCTTTTCTCTTACTGCACCTTGTTCTTCTTCATCCAGTAGTTCCACTGTAAAATAACCAAACGGCTTCCAACAGGGCTTCCAATCTGAAAGCAGTTAACTATCCCTCTGTCCCCTCCACACCCACAGTTTGATTATGTAACACAGACAGTAATTGGGAATGAAATGTTAGTCCATAGAGCCTTCATCGGCCAGCAATAAATAGAGCAGAAAAGACTATCCAAAGTACTGAAGACCCCTAATCTTACATCCCTACATAGCTTCCTTGATCATTTAGCAGGATTAGGAACCTCTCTACATATCCACTTTACCCTTTTTGTTCCAGGACACCTTTGTGGTCATGCAGAATGGTTCTAGAGATATCTTTTCTTTCCTATTTATTCCCATCCTAATGCATTTTCCTTCACACTATGTACTGTTTGGGGGTTTTCTCTCAAATCATTCACACTGTCCCTTCCACTTTCTCAGGCTGGTGCATTAACAGTTCAGTGATGTGAAAGGTAATAAAAGCTAGACTGGAAATCACAAAATAAATATGAGAGAAACATCCCACAGAGACTCTGAAACCATTTATTTTTAACCTAACAGTTCACGGAATACAGGGAAATATTGTATATCATTGATTCTAAGATGCACATTTTAAACAACTCTGAAATTGGATATGATTTACGGTAAATGCACATGATAGTTTAATTGGCAGCTTCTTTTTCTTTCTTAGGGTGGGAAAAGAAATAATGCACATTGTCATTAATGGCATCTAAGATTCAATTAAGTACCCTTAGGTACTTTTCATGGAAAAAGTTTCTCAGGGGCAACTATGTTTCAAATGTCTCTTTCTCCTACACTGTCTAGAAGTGTTGAGTCTGGGTCAGAGAAAGTAAAATTCACTAAAAACTCGGATTAATCAATTATTATCCTTTATCTTGATAATTCTTATTCAAGGTGCTTTTCAGGGAGAACCCTCTATGGCTGATTGAGCCACAGGGCAAACAAAGAAGAAGAAGGCCATCTTCGAGCCTAGAAATTATAAACAAAGGCCAAGTCCTGAGAATGAATTTAGGAAGAAATGAATCCATGTGTACAGATCACAAAGCTGGTCAGTGGTCAGCCTTCTCCTGAGTTAGGAAATAGTAGTAGTAATTCCTTCATTTTTCTTTACAAACTCATCCACAGCCTAGCTTTGTTCCAGTCCAGAGCTCTGTTCTACTGCAAAGTCTAACAGTTAACACACAATTAACAATCGCTCTACTTCCACCACCATCACTGCCATTTTTAGAAGGTGCTCAAGGGACAAAGAGTGTTTACAGTAGCGTACTCAGTAAGAAATGACAGTTATATAAGCTGGCTGGGGACTTCCCTGGTGGTCCCGTGGCTAAGACTCCACGTTCCCAGAGCAGAGGGGCCTGGGTTCGATCCCTGGTCAGGGAACTAGATCCCACAGGCCTCAACTAAAGATCCCACATGCCGCAACTAAAGATCACGCATGCCACAACTAAAATATCCTGCATGCCACAACTAAGACCTGACGTAGCCATAGAAAGAAAGAAAGAAATACTAAAAAAAAAAAAAAAAAAAAAAAAAAAAAAAGCTGGCTGGACTTGTCTGCTTTAAAGTAGGTCTTGATTGGCAGGAGTCCTTTCCTTTCCTCATATCTGCCCCAACGGTAAGAAATGCACAGTTCTATGAGGTCCCAGCTCACCCGTTCCGCCACCCCCCTCCACCCCACACTGATATTCACTCCTCCTTGGAAGGCTTTTTGCTTTTGAGTTCTTGAAAGAAAGAATAGTTCTTGTTCCTAACCCTTTTCTCTTACCCCATTTGGCTTGTCTGAAGCACACTGACCAGATGAGCTTCTATAGCTCTTCCTTCAGGCAAACAATTGTATCTATTCTTGCTAAATTGTTTTAGCTGGCAGAAATAAAGAACAGGGCTACTTCCCACAATTCCAAAATCCCCAAAGGTCTGAAAACCAAAAATTCTTTGTAACTCTTTTGGCAGCAAAACCTGAACTGACATACTATTTACAGTCCTATTTTATTCCACTTAATATGATTATCCATCTGTTTCTCTGTAGAAATGTGTTTTATTACGGAGTGCTGACCAGACCCACTTGAGGCGTTATGTAATATGACCAGTATATACCCTTTGTTAGCTTTTTGAAAAATCCAGAACTAGCCTGAGATCTGAAACATTTGGCCCCAAGGTTTCAAATAAGGGACTGTGAATGTACTGTGAGTGTCTGGTGTTAAATTCGCTTGCTGAGCAGACAGTTCCTTTCTTTCTTTTTTTTTTTAAATTTATTTATTTAATTAATTTATTATTTTTTTGCTGCATTGGGTCTTTGTTGCCGTGCACGGGCTTTCCCTAGTTGTGGCGAGCGGGGGATACTCTTCGTTGAGGTGCATAGGCTTCTCACTGGGGTGGCTTCTCTTCTTGAGGTGCATGGGCTCTAGGACTGCAGGCTTCAGTTGTTGTGGCACAAGGGCTGGGCTCAGTAGTTGTGGCTCGCGGGCTCTAGAGCGCAGGCTCAGTAGTTGTGGCGCACGGGCTTAGTTGCTCCATGGCACGTGGGATCTTCCCGGACCAGGGATCAAACCCGTGTCCCCTGCATTGGCAGGCGGATTCTTAACCACTGCGCCACCAGGGAAGTCCGACAGTTCCTTTCTGTTCAGATTCCTAACTCTGCCTGCGAGCTGAGTCTCTAGTACTGAGTACCAGATGTCCTCACATTGTAAAACCAACATGATTAAAATTCTCTACGACTGTTCTGCTCATAGTACCTCCCGAAACAGTAAGATAAGGGACAATTCCCAAATACCAGCTTTAAGAGTTCATAAATGCAAGATAACATCTTAGTTTTCCCTCCAACCCCCAAACACTGAAATGAGGCAGAGCAATGAGTTTATTGCTACTGCAAATCCCAATACCAGCATTTAGGGAACATGAAGTTCTCACCATTCACAATCTCGTGTCCAAAAAACATCTTCACTCCTGGGACACTTCGATCAGTCTCCACATTCTTCACTGTTATAGAAAACAATTCATTTGGTTGATAAAAAGTAATATTCCCTAAAACTATAAGAAAATATGTCTCACAAAAGTGCCCAAATCTGAGTTTTATAAAAATCCCTAAATTATCTTCCCCAAGGAATAAAAAGTCAATAATAAATTACAAAGCTATAACCTTGAAACAAGTAGTATAAAGAACAGAGGGAACACCAGAATGGTCCAAGATACACTAAAAGGGCAGTAGTAGTACACTGAATTTAAACTTCTTCCAAAAATATTCTAAGGCCTTTGGGGCTAAGGATTATCTACTTTTTATATTTCTACTGATTTTTACTCCACCTAACTCCAGAAAAAAACAAGTCATCTGACTACTTCTAGAGTCCACACCCTGTTTCATGTCTCTCTACATGCTTGAGCTATTAATTGTCAGAGACAACAATCCAACTCCTGGCCCAATTATAGGCTCTTCTATGAGTAGGTAAGGGAGTTGGGAGAAGTTTATTTGTCATGTTTACAATACAGTGTCAATTTTTTCTAGATGGCAGTGCTCACAGCAGCTGTATATTTCCACATTTCTCAGCAATCCAAAACAAATGAGTTTTACCTTCACTAGTCCACTGAACATATTCTTACATAGGTCAAAGATCACCAACTGCCTATTTGTCAAATCCCCAAAAAAGTTTACAATGTTATACTTGGTTCCCATGCATCCACTGACAATACTGTTCTCTCCTTTCTTCTTTGGCTTACAGGACACTCTTTTTTTTCTCTCTCTCTCTTTTTTTTTTTTTTGCGCGGTACGCGGGCCTCTCACTGTTGTGGCCTCTCCCATTGCGGAATACAGGCTCCGGACGCGCAGGCTCAGCGGCCATGGCTCACAGGCCCAGCCGCTCTGCGGCACATGGGATCTTCGTGGACCGGGGCACGAACCCGTATCCCCTGCATCGGCAGGCGGACTCTCAACTACTGCCCACCAGGGAAGCCCTACAGGACACTCTTAGTGTTTATTTCTTTTCCTACTAATTATCTAAAGCCACCACACTGAGCACCCACTCCAAACCAGGCATCTTGCTAATTATTTGCCTGTGTTTGACTATCCAGTAACATAATGAGATAGGTATTTCACTATCTCCATTATGGAGGAATTTGAGGCTCAGAAAGGTTGAATAACCTGCTCAAGGTCACACTACTAGTAAAAGACAGAGTCAGGATTCAAAACCAGGCCTCAATGATTTTAATAAGCATCTTGTAACCAGTGTTCCACTGTCTCCCTGATTTCCTCCTTCCAGTCTCCTTAGCTGTCTCTGCCACCACCGCTTGCCCCTTACACATTGATAATCCCTAGGGTGATATTCTTCATGCTTCTTCCTTCTCCTTGAATGATCACATCAACTTCCTAGTTGTCCTGACATACATTATTTCTCCAGTATGGATTATTTCTCTGAGCTCCACTCTCATTTTCAACTAATAGCAGACTTACTGCATTATTTTTCAAATTGATCATTATCTTCTCCCACTAACCAACAAACCTGTTCCTCTTCCCATTTCTATCAATTAATAACAGTATTATACACATAATCTGAGTTATAAATGTAGGAGGCTCTTTGACTATCTAATTCAGCAGTCCCCAACCTTTTTGGCACCAGGGACCGGTTTCGTGGAAGACAATTTTTCCATGGACTGGGGTGGGGGGATGGTTTCGGGATGATTCAAGCACATTACATTTATTGTGCACTTTATTTCTATTATTATTACATTGTAATATATAATGAAATAATTACACAACTCACCATAATGCTGACAGGAGGTGGAGCTCAGGCAGTGCAAGTGATGGGGAGCGGCTGTAAATACTGATGAAGCTTTGCTCGCTCGCCTGCCATTCACCTCCTGCTGTGCAGCCCGGTTCCTAACAAGCCATGGACCAGTACCGGTCTGTGGTCGGGGGATTGGGGACCCCTGATCTAATTGATTACTAGGTTACTTATCCTCACTCCTAAGCATTTCTAGAATCTGTCTTCTCTACTCCATTCCTTGCCAAACCTTAGCTCTGACTCCCATCATTTCCTCTTTATTGGGTCCCTTGATTGTCTGAATAGTTCCCTGTCTATTCTCCTTGTCTCTAGTTTATTGCTACTTCAAACCTTCCTTCATGCTGCTGTCATAGTGATGTCACTCCCTGCTTTGTCCAAATGGTACATAAATTAGTAAGCAGGTGTAACAGTTCTACCATCAACTCCTCCTTTGGGAAGCCTCCCCCACTGTCCTAACCCTACCATTCTCAGATCTAAATTAGCTGATATTCTGTGTTTCCACAGCATCTTGTGCGTCCCTCTATCACACAGGGTATCACACTGCATTACACCTTTCTACTTGTTTACCTGTCTCCTTACTAGACAAAGTTTTTTGAGGACAGAGACCATGTTATTCTTATCCATATCCCTGGTACCCAGCACAGTGCCTGGGATATAAAACTCAGTAAATGATTACCAAATGAATTAATATTGCAAAAGCCTGGTATAGTCCCATCCTAGCCTACAAAAGTCTATTTTAACTCATAACATGGCTTAACAGTAACACTAATCTCTCAAATGTCATTTACACGTTTCAACTGTGAACTTGAAATTTACTGTGCCAGGAAATCAACTACTCTTAACAAGTCAATATTCTAGCTGAATAAAAACTATATATTGGGGCTTCAAGGTGAGCACATGGAGGAGACTAAGAGGGTGGCATGCCTAGAGAGGGTAGAAACTCTGAGCCCCTTCCCACATACCTTGCCCTATAAATCTCTTCCATCTGGCTGTTCCTGAATTTTATCCTTTAAAAATGAATTGGAATTGAAACTGGGAGGTGTAAAGGCTACCTTGTGACCAGGAGGATAACACATGGTCGCTGAGGTGGCAGAGCAGGAGCACAAGACACCTGATCCCTCCTGGCATCTTTCAGCCACTGCACTATTCCTCAGTAGTCTACCTCTGGGCTTCTTTTTGCATGAGAAAAATTAACCCCTTACAGTCTTTGTGAATTTGTCTGTTGAAGCCAAAAGCAACTCTAATACAGTGGTTATTTTTAATTTCATGGTGCATATGGAGAGAAATTAAAAGAAGTACCCAGTTAAAAAAAACTCTCTATATTGAAAATTTCCACTATCATGTCAATAAAAGTATAGAAGCGGGGACAAGCCAGCATATGCAGCCATGTTGCTCTGTTAGGGAAAACAGCATTCTAATCCTCCTCCCACCCTTTCCCTAAAATAGGAATAATGCCACTCTCCCAGTTGCTAAGCGAGCGCAGAACCATCACCCAAACTGAGTTATTAGTCTCCTAAAAGGCAGGAGATTATGAGAAATAAAATGAGACCTTTCTTCAGGACAACAATCTTGTTAGGGTCCACATGCTGGAGCACTCCCTCAAAGATGCCACAAACCAATGTGAGTTTCACTCTTCTCCACAAAATCTGATTGAGGAAATGGTAGTCACTGGTGGGATCCATGCTATTTGATTCCAGAAGGAGTCTTCAAATAATCTTCTTTAAGTATCCAAACCCTTGAAAATAAAAGAGATCTATGATTTTTTAAATATTTTGGGGAAAATGAGGTTATTTTTCCTTTCCCCATACCTGGGATAAGAAAAATTAAAATATTAGAGAAATTCAATTCTGTTCATCTTTTTAGAATGATAATGAGAAAAATATCATTGCAAGCACCAACTCTAATTTATACATGGGAAACTAAAAAGTTATGACTTCAGGCAAGGGCTTCCCTGGTGGCGCCCTTGAGAATGGTTGAGAGTCTGCCTGCCAATGCAGGGGACACGGGTTCGAGCCCTGGTCTGGGAGGATCCCACATGCCGCGGAGCAACTGGGCCCGTGAGCCACAACTACTGAGCCTGCGCGTCTGGAGCCTGTGCTCCGCAACAAGAGAGGCCACAACAGTGAGAGGCCTGCGCACCACGATGAAGAGTGGACCCCGCATGCCACAACCAGAGAAAGCCCTCACACAGAAACGAAGACCCAACACAGCAAAAATAAATTAATTAATAAACTCCTACCCCCAAATCTTCTTAAAAAAAAAAAAGACTTCAGGCAAGGTGGGTTTGACGTCTTTGTCTATAAAATGGCCTAATGTCACTTTTCCTTCCTTAGCTAAATGGAATAAGAAGAACATTTAGAGGCTTTTTAATAGCACATGCATACATCATTTTAACAGCAACCAAAAAAACTAAAAGAACAAATGAAAAAAAATGATATTGGCAAACACCTGCCAACACATTGCAATAAACTGTTTACCCAGAAACGTCTGGGATCTAACCTCTTCTAGATGAAGCCTCTTCTAGGTTAATCACATTTCCAGAGTTTCACACTGTAACCAACCAAAGAATAAGTGACTTAGAACTATCACAATTTACGCATTACCAATCCAGCTGCCATGTCACTGCGAGGGCCATTCCACCCGACCCTGGCCACAGCTCAGGGACTGGGCTGCTGTAATGTCACCAGTCATGTGCAGCCTGACAGATTAACTGACACATGCCACACAATGGTTTTGTAAAATTCAACTGCTTTTGTAAAAATGATGCATGCTTATAAAAAGGATAACAATGCAGAAATGTACAAAGAAAAAACTTTATCTTGCAGAAATAGCTATCATTCATAGTAGACACTCTTATAATCCTCAGTGTAATACTGTAAATTAAAAGATTAAAAAAAAAGATGAATCCTTTTCTCTAAGTATCTTTTAGAACAATCCTGTTATTCGGATGTCTTTGTATTTAGAAGCTCAGCTAAGTGTTCCTCCACAGTGGTTAAATTTAAAAGTGGCTTGCCTTTGCCCCACTTGGAATAGTCAACCAGTGAATTTTGCAATTTAGTTTAACTATAAAACACTGACTAAATAACTAAGGCCCAATTTGACTAGGAAGAGGTGAGACGTTACATAGCATTTTTAACCAGATAAATAACTTACACTTTAATATTTTAAGATCTAGCAAGTGCCTTCACAATTATTATTTGTTGCCTACAACTACCTAATTTACAGATGTAGAAACTGAGGCTTAAAGATTTAAGACACCTGCCCAAAGTTACACAGCTAGAAGGTAATGGAACCTGAACTAAAACCAGGTCCTTAGTGGAGGATGTGTGCAGTCTAGTGCAAGACAAAGTGTTATGCATCCAGAAAGAACAGAAAACAAGTCACCAGAGTGCCTGGAAAAATCATTCTTCTTTGTTCAAGTCAATCCAACTGGTAAAAGGGGAATTTTTACAGAAATAAAACATAAAACTGGAAAAAACAGTCCTTAATAGAGGTAAAAATTAATTTATATTTTTAAAAGATACATAAGAAATAAGCTTGTGAAATGCCTGGATAATAAAGAAATTTAAGAAATGTTAAAGTAAATCAGAAAAACATTAACACAAAGCAAAGCGCCGACTGAGGATGGTTGCAAAAGGTTAAGATTCAAGATTAGGGGCTTCCCTGGTGGCGCAGTGGTTGAGAGTCCGCCTGCCGATTGCAGGGCACACAGGTTCGTGCCCCGGTCCGGGAAGATCCCACATGCCGCAGGAGCGGCTAAGCCCGTGAGCCATGGCCGCTGAGCCTGGGCGTCCGGACCCTGTGCTCCGCAACGGGAGAGGCCACAGCAGTGAGAGGCCCGCGTACCGCAGAAAAAAAAAAAAAAAAAAAAGATTCAAGATTAGGAAGGAGCGAGTAAGGTCAGGACCTAGAGATGGGCTTCAAGACAGACTCAGAAAATGGACATTCACCTCGGTGACATCACAGGTTTTTCTACCATACTTACGCTCTCAGAATAAAAAGAAGGTCCTGTGGCCTAGATGGGCATATCCAACATGTCACACTCTGCTTATTCAGGCAGACATCATTAGGTCAGACAAAAGTAAGTCTATCGTGAAAACAATTCAGTAAGACTAGAACCTCAGTATCCTTGCTAAGCCGTTAAAGCCTTAGGTAAAGCTTAAAACTAGTAACCTAAATTGACTTGACCATTTCGCTAATACAGGGTTCTAGTGCTTAAGTACTAAGTGATAGCGGTCAGAATTTGGTTCTTCCATAACTCAAACCAGTTCTGTACAAAGTAACACTCGAGGGGTGGGTAAGGGGTGTAAAGGCACTGAAGCCACAGGAAAAGAACTGGTTCATCTTAAAGGGTGTACTAATTTAACGGGTGGCTTTAAATGTTTTCAAGAAAACAAACAAAAATATGCCACAGGAACAAAATGCAAATTTCCTCGTTTTTAAGGCAAAATAAGAAACTTCAAATAAACGGCGGGCCATACGCTAGAAATTCTCTCCTCCGCCGTTGGGTTTGTTTTTCTTTTTCCTCCGACGAAAGTTTGGGAAATCTTGTCTCTATTTCAGCCAAATGGTGAGTTACTCGAGCTTCAGTCTTGAAGTGAAAAAAGAGGGACTGCTGTTAAGGAAAAACTCTCGGGGAGTTCCAAGCCCGCGGTGGCGGTTATCAAAGGACAGTCCCGAAAACTAAAGCACGTAGCGCTGGGAACCCACTCTACAGGTCGGACGCCAGCCGGCCTGAACCAGAGGTCCCGTCTGTTTCCCGAGGAGCCAATCGGCGCGCGGTCCCGAGGCTGGCTCTCGAGCGCCCCTTGCGGCCGAGAGGAGAGAGGGCCCCCCAGGAAGAATCAGGAGGTGCAACTCCCAGCATGCAGTTCCCGGGAGACACACCCTAGCGTTCACTCAAGCGACGTTTTGTCTGTTTTTATTGTTTCTCTCCGCAATCCATGCCAACCGTAGGGTGGAATTTCTAGTGTAAGAGTTCTGTGAGAAACAGGTTGGCTACACCGCCTGCCACACGTTATTGTGTTGTAAAACAGTGGGTCAATGGCGTGGCCCTTTTAATTGTGGGCGCTAGGGTCAGAATTGCCCCTTTAAGGCCGGTGGCATCATGTTTCCGGGGGCGTGGCCCGTCTTTAGCTAGACCCGGCCGGGCGCTGGGCTGATTCATTCGGGGGCTGGAGCTAGGAACGTCGACGTCGGCTCCGGCGCTGAGCTCAGCCTCATTCCCAATTGGCTGGGCCTCCGGGCCGCCCTCCCCCGCGCGCCACCCCTGGGTTCCCTTCCCAGTCCACAGTAGAACCACTGCCCTCTCCCTTCTTGACCCCTGGCTCTTCCTCCCATTTTTCCCTCCCTACCGCCGCCGCTGTCGTTTCTGGCGCCGCTGCTCCCGGAGGAGCTCCCGGCTCGGTGATGGGGTCCCGGGCCTCCACGTTACTGCGGGACGAAGAGCTCGAGGAGATCAAGAAGGAAACTGGCTGTGAGTTCGGGCAGGGGGTGGGAACGCGGCCGAGCGCCTCCGGTTGGCCTCAGGACCAAGGGCGACTGTCGCTGAGGTCTGGAGATGAGGTCCCGGGAGGTTGGGGGGAGTCCTGGGCAGCCTCCAGCGCTGGAGCTTCGGGGATGATGGAGGACCTGTTCTTAAGCTACAGCTACCTGGAGCAGGGCAGTGCCTCTTGTGGGGCTGTCCTTCCCACCAAAGGCGGGAGTCATGATCACCCGTAGATCACTGATCCCGCTCTTTTCTCTTCCCCCTGCTCTTGAAAGCCCCCCGAACTCTTTTCCTTTATCTTTCCTCGCACCAACCTCAAATTCAGGAACTGTGGATGGATTCTGTAGAAAACCTTCTGTCCGTTCCCGTGATGTTTCTGGGCAAGGATTTAAAACCACTGACAACTGTGGGAAATCAAACAAATTCTTGCCACAATCGGAAAAATAAATCCAGAAAGTGAGATCGTACAGTAAGGCTTTGGAAGACAGGACGGGACACCTTAAAGAATCAGGAGTCTGAATATGAGACTTCTTTCATTCTGAGCTTGTGGAGAGAAAGCACGGATACTGTGACTACCAGTTTTTTATTTACAGTGAGGATGCTTGCTGTCCTAATTTCAGATCTATTGATTTCTACTATGCTGGGATACTTCATGCAGTCGCCGTGGAAATTGGATATGCTCCAAAAACCTCAGTGTGAATTTGTACTAGGAACTGATTTTTTACAGTCCAGTCTCTTCCTCATTAACTGGAAAGGGGCAACAGAGTTTTGGGAATTCAGAAGCCCGGTAAAACACCATCATACATTTGTGTAATCCTTGATAATGCATACATTATTTTCTCTTCTCAGTAATTCATTATGACTCTTGTATTTTACATGAGTTATGTAAACATCCGGGCTCTGAGTCTTCATGATACCTGTCTTTGATAATGAGATGACCAGTAAATAACTCAGTGGTCCATTCGCAGATAATATTGAGTGCTGGGGGAACCTCAGAATTATTCAGGCAGTGGTGGCCTGAGATAAATTAAATGCTGTCCCATGCTTTCTGACAAGTTCAACTTTCTAGAATCTTCAAGTTGGAAGGGGTGTTATCTAGCCTCATCCCTTGTCAGACTGGTTTACTGCTTTCAGCATCTCCTAACTTACCGTCATTAAGCCTCTCCATAAAGACTTTAAGGGCCTCACCGCCTACCAATGTAGTCCTTTTGATGATTTTGAATGAATGACAGAAAGTAGTTAGCTGTTTATAATGTGCAGTACTTATTTGGCCACTTGACCTTATGGTCATTTTATGACTTACCCTGACTCCAAGAGTAGAAACGTAGGCAGTTTGGATTCAGCAAGCATTTTATTACATTTTGTGGTTATGACCTCTGGCCACACTTGTGAGAACATAAGAACTACTGTGGGTCTAAGGTGACACCAGAGTTAAAGCATTCATGCTTAAAATTAAAAGTCACATAATGAGGGAGTGTAAACCAGAGTGAGGGTGGGAAAAAGCTATTTTTACCTCAAGAGGAAGGGAGCAATAATCTCATTCTGGTTTTATTACATTTGACCAAATGAAAGTGGCCTCAATTGCCTTAGGACTCTGGATTATATTTTACTGTGTGACCTTGTGAGAACTGAGTACTCCTGCAGAACTATTTTCCTAGTTGCCGAAAAGTGAATCAAGCCTGAGGGAGAGTCTCAGCCACAACCAGTACAAATGTATGTATTGAGCCAGAAAGCCTAATGAAACAAGTACTTATTGAATTTTTGCAATGTCTATATTCAGTACGATACTGGGTACTCAAAGCAGATGGTGACAAAAGATGCTCACAAACCTGTCATAGAGATAAGCCCACAGGAGTTAGGATTAGCATCAGGACATAGGGTACCTGAAATTGTGTGGCACCTCTTTCAGAACTCAGGGAAGAGTCCTTGTGAGCTGGCTTTGAGGAGGACAGGAATTGGGCCTTGATTCATGCATGAATTGATTAGATTTGGATAAATTAACCTAGGGCATTTTGGGTGGCTTCCAGGTGCTTTCTCCCCCAGTATGCTACCTGTCATTCTTCTGCTCTGGGAGTTGAGCCATCAATTTATCCAGTTAGTGCCGATCAGCAGAGTTGATTTTTAAAGCATTAATCTTAGCATGATGCAAAAGGTTTAGAAGAATAAAAACAACGGATACCTGAGGGTCAGGTAGAGAGGTGGAATTAGTCCTGTTTTCCTCTGCTTCTTGTTCTGTTAAGAGTTTGGGGAACTATCAATCAGAAACACTTCAAGTTAAGAACAAGTATAAGACATTTCTTTACTCGCTTTGCCAGTAAGAAAATGTAGCATGATTGAGTAAAACTGACTTTATATTCAGTATGAAAGCTTTGCATTCGTAAGTCTAAATTGATTAGAATTCATGTATGACTAGGTTATCCGGTATTTGAAATTTAATCTCTAAGTGTTTGGAAAAGTAATTCTAAGTAAGAATTCCTTGTAAGCCTCAACTTTGTCATCTGTAAATGGGAATAATAATAGTACCTACTTTATAGGATTCCTAGTGAGAATAAAATGAGAAAAATGTAAACTACTTAGAATAGTGTCTAGGTATGTAATGAGCACCAGGTGTTAGCTATTACCTTTTGAACCACAGATAACAATCATCTTATTGGGAAAATACCATTAGCATATGCTAGTTATAAAAACTTTGTCTAGAGCTATATAACTGGAGAGGTGACGGCATTTTACACTTTTCCTATTTTCAGGGGATATTGGATTAGGAATCATGTTTTCCCAATTCTAAGGAAATAAAACTTTGAAAGGAGTAGAAATCCTATTTTTTCTAACTGTTTGAAAAACACTGTCTAAAAACACTTTGTGTTGGCGTAAAACATTTGCTATATTGTCTTAGTTCTATCACCTTCTTTCACTCGTCAACATTTCCATAAATTAAAATCATTTCAATAAAAGTTGTCATTAAGGTCATAAGTGTCTTGGGAGTTTCTGTATGCTCCACCTTTAGTTCACTTAACTGTGTGGCAATAACCTGGCTGGGAATTACTTAAAACCTTTTAAAAAGAAATAGCCACATAATCTGTGAGAAACAACTCATGCCAACTGAGTAGTAATAAATGCCGATTGATTTATTTTTAGCCTCTACCTTCTGGTGTGTGTCATGTGACATGGCAAAGATATTGAACAGGTTTGGGAAGTACGTTTTACAGGCCAGTGAGGTTTTGTTTGTTTGAAAGGGTGTAGTGATGATAGAACTAGTGTGGGTTTCTCTGTAGTTGCAACAAAGAGCACAAGACAGGCAAAGGCAATTGCTTGAGAATAATTTCCTGGGCTAGAATGTAAGTGGAAGTTCAACTTCAGACTGCTCCTGCTCAAAATGCAGAACCCCTTCATGGCCCTCATCTGCCTTGCCATAGTGCCTGAAGGTTCTGTCACTACAGAAGACCCTGCTGCTGTCTTCCAGCTCCTATTTTTTTATTTTTGGCTGCGTTGGTCTTCTTTGCTGTGGGCATGTTTTCTCTAGTTGCAGCAAGTGGGCGCTACTCTTCGTTGCGGTGCACGGGCTCCTCATTGCGGTGGCTTCTCTTGTTGCGGAGCACGGGCTCTAGGCGCGTGGGCTTCAGTAGTTGTGGCATGTAGGCTCAGTAGATGTGGCTCGTGGGCTCTAGAGTGCAGGCTCAGTAGTTGTGGCGCACGGGCTTAGTTGCTCTGCAGCATGTGGGATCTTCCCAGACCAGGGCTTGAACCTGTGTCCCCTGCATTGGCAAGCGGGTTCTTAGCCACTGCCCAGCGGGGAAGCCCTATATATATATTTTTGGTGAACCATTTTAAAGTTGTAGATGTTAGAACCCTTCACCCCTTAAGCATTCTGCATGTATCTCCTGAGAATAGGGGTTTTTTTCCCTACATAACTAGAATACTATTATCACACCTAAGAAAGTTGACAATAATTCTATAAATATTATCTATCATTCAGTCCATATTTAGACATCCCCAGTTATAAGAAAGTTTTTGTTTTTGTTTTTAATCTCTTTTAAGTCTCTTAATTTATAGGTTTCCTGAGAGAGTAGGCCAGCTCTTGAAGTCCTCTTGCCACAGGAAATGCGAAATATTGGGGTATGGAGTGTTCAGGAGGAATGGTTAGGGGTGCAGGCTTCAACCTCTCAATCTTTTGAGAGTTACCTTCGGTTGCACATATATGCTTTACCTAGGTTATTAATCTGTTCTTCTGCGTTAAGATTTAGGATAAAGGCAAGGGCAAAATGACTTTTTTTCTTATTCCCTTTTCATTTTTACTCCTCACTTTGCTTTTCCTCCTTAGTGCTTGGCATTTCTGTGAAATGCCTTCTTTCTCTGAGCACAGTAATGATAGTCAGAATGGCTTTTAGTCAGGAAGATTAGCAGTGTCTTTTAAGTAAACTTTCAACAATAGAAACTAATTATTTGCCCATCAGTGGAGAAAAATATAGCTTCTTTCAAGATATGCCCACATTCACAGCCTTTTCTGAAAGTAATTGTCAACTCCTGAGACTTCCTTTGGGTTACCAAGAATGATGCAGGTTTCGGGCACTTGTCCTGCTAACCTAGCGCCTTCTG